TAGAAAATTTGAGGGTTTTTCTGATGTGCATTTTACAAATTATAATTATTTAAGGGTACTTGGGAAATGCAGGAGGGTACTTGGGCGTTGTCAATTCATCGCAATTGATCAAGAACAAATTTATTGCAATTGAATTTGATGCACTTCAAGATTTGCACTTTAATGATCCCGATGACAACCATGTTGGGTTGGATATTAACGGCCTTATCTCAATTAAGACTGCCAATCTGATGCTGCAGAGTGTGAATTTGAAGAGTGGGAATTTGATTACTGCTTCGATTGATTACATGAATGAGAACAAGAAGTTGGAGTTTCCAAACTGTGTGATTTCATTCAAGCAGGATTGTCGGGCATGGAGCCTTTAGCATTGTTTATAAGGCCTTTTTTCACGGATTTGGGTACTATTTCTGATGTCAAAATATTCAAGCATGCCCACGAGGGTAAAACCGAATTCCTTGCTGAATTATCAATTATAGCTTGTTAGAGGACCTAGCCGATTTTTAGATATGTTAACTTTGTTACTAAAACTACATATATCTTTATTCAATTTTTTCTTGATTTGGTCATTGCTTCAATAATAATAATAATAATTTGGTTGATGTGGTTGTTGCTTCAAACTATGTGCTTCGAATAAGTTTCTTCTCTGAATTCACCACCTTTTTTCGAGGTTACAATATAAATTCATGTCATTCTAATTTACCTCGTAAAACGCATTGCACTCCGTGGCACCACGGAGCACTATCGGTGCAGCACGGAGACACCACCAGACGTTTTTTTTTTCTAGATCCGATAGAATTTCTTATAGGTCATGTTTCAGCTATAACGAAAAAATGTTCAAGTGCCCTCACAGTGTAATCCCAGCCTCTTCCAACTCCAAATCTTCAAACTTGTGCCAGTCAAGAGGGTTTGGAACTTCAGATGCTAAGTTCGAATTTTACAAACCTATAGGAATAGATTGTGTTAAGGTAAAAAATAACCATGGATCTTTGTGTCAACTAGGTGAACTCACCTTTAACAAGGGGCAGCCCCTTGATCCCCGCGACCTGACATATTGATGCCGTTTCGAAGCAGCAAACCATTTGAATAACAACAATAAACAAATAAATAAATTATAAAAAAATATATTATCTCAAAACTTCCAAACTAATAGGAATCTCAGTATTTTCAATCCCAAACTTCTTAACGATTGGATATGTTGTTTTTAGGAGTTGATCCACTTGTTAGATTATATGATTAAAAAT